GAAGTGAAAAATGAGATAAATCAATAGAACGACACAAGTGCTGTTAAACGGCACTTGTGTCGTTTTGTCAATAAACACGAGTTTGAGCTCTCACGAGCCTTCCTGGCCCCTGTATTCGAGAAGTTGAACTCATTTGAGTCGCGAGATGGACATGTAGCTCACATAATTTGGGAGATACCCTCATTACTTTGGTTTTATAACGAATGTGGATGGTGACTTGTGATTTCACCAACGCGATATCTACAATCTATGCCAATTCTTCTGTTATTTGTTACGTAATTAATAATTTTGACTTTCTTAAGTTAGGAGGCCCGATCCTTAAGGTCGACGCGGTGAAAATAAAGCGAAATATAGGAGAAACCAACAGAACAACATAGATGCCATTAAACGTCACTTGTGTTGTTCTGTCGATAAACACGAGTATGAGTAGTCACACGCCTTCCAGACCTCGATATTCCATAATTTGAACTCATGTAATTTGCGAAATGGACATGCCGCTCACATAATTTGAAAGATACTCTCATTGCTTGGACAACAGGAAAAATGAGAACAACACTAGTGATGTTACTGTTATGAAAACAGCACAAGTGTCGTTACTTATGTAAACACGATACAAATAATTGATAACTCGTATATTTAAAAATAAATTGTTACTAGATCAATGATATTTAATATCTAAACATCATTTCTATATTTTTTTAGGTAAAATACTCGAAATGGTACCGTGATATTTTGTTATAACAAAAAATAAATAACTATCATTATGACTTCATCGATTCAAGTATATATTAAAATAATATGAAAATAGTTACAATATTTAAATTATCAAAGTAACCACAATAAATTATCAATAAGGGATAGATTATAATATATCAAAGTAACCAAAATATATTATCAATAAGAGACAGATCATAACAGATAATGGTTGTACTGTCACTTTACATGGAGGATAACGACTGTAGTGTCGTTCTACACTATAGATAACGACTGGACTGTCGTTTCCAATCGTTATCGTCCAATAGTTGCGGACGATACAAATATACACCAAATGAGAAAATAAAATCAATTAAAATATCATTTTATACTATATTAAACAATAAAAGTACCAATGTAAATGAGATTTCTAAAAATACCTTTCTTTTTTCTTTAAATATAGTGGAAATCTCAATGTAGATAATATAGATAATAAAATTCTTGTTCAAATGCTCACAATGTTGGAGAAAATAGAAGAAAAATACAATGAATATCAAGATTTTAGGGAAGAAATCACAGGAAAAACAGGTTAATGCATTTTGTAGATGAATTGAGGGATTTAATTGGATTGAAAGGGGTATTTGGATATTTTCCATGATAAGGGTATTTTAGATATTTGACATTATTTGTTTATTGTATTTTATAAATGAAGGCCATTTGACCAAGAAACATTGAAGGAAGGTTATTTTATCAAAATCATTGTTTGACTAGGCTTTTTTATCAAATCCCCCTTTCTACTGTACTCGAAAACAATACTGTCGGTTGGGCCTCCACTGAATAGAACTTGGTCCGACGGAAGGTGACCCTTTCTCTGCATCAGATTCTTAAAGTAATTGTTGTCAAATGAATTGGGTGTCACTAAATCAAGTGGTGCCAAATTAGTGTTTCCACTGTTTGAAGGGCATTGGTGCCTACGAGTGCTTGCAAACCCGGGATCAATGTTTGTCCCATTGCTGTATATCCTTTCTTGGAAGAGAAAACATTGCGATTGGCCTATTGTGTGTGATCCTAGACGTTAATAGCAATTTTAAGTTGCATTGTCAGCTCTCATTGTCACCCAACAACATCTAAAAAATGTAAAAGAAATTTATTTGCACATCACAAATATTAAACTTTTAGTTACCTGATAAGGCAACCATGTCTGTAGCACTGAGTCCTTTGTTGTCAAAGGAAGAAATGAGTCTTCTGAGATCGGAATCTGGCCTTGGAAGATCAGCGTTTTTTAGAAATGAGTTTATAACAAAGAAAATTAGCTGAACGATTGGGGCAAAAATGAAGTAAAGAATTGTATTGATTTTTCTGCTTGCCAAACTGTACAGAATATCACAGTATATATACACAAAAATAGGCTATTCTAGAAGGAATAATTTACAAACACATTCTCTCAACAAATTCCCTAACACACACAAAAATTCTTCTTCCTTCTTCTAGAGAATTCTCATTCTGTTATTGCAAATTGGCTGCCAATTGTTCAATTGCTGATTGTACTGCTGATTCTTCAACCAGATCCTTCATGTCTTTCCAATTCAGCTGCTTTGTCAGCAGCCTTGTCAACTTCCAATAGCCCCCCACAAGATGGAGAGTATATGTCTATTAGTCCCATCTTGAGCATGCATGAGTAAAATCCTTGCGACCCTAAGGCTTTGGTAAGAATTTCTGCAATCTGTGACCTGCTAGGAACATGCTTAGTAACAATGTATCCATCTTGAATTTTGTCGCGAATCAGATGACAATCGAGCTCTATGTGTTTGGTCATTTCGTGGAAAACTGGGTTGGTGGCTATGTGTACAGCTGATTTGTTGTCACAGTACAAAAATGCAGCTTGAGGATGAGCAATCTTCAGGCCCTCAAATAAGTATATGAACCATGTTAGTTCACAACACAAATCAGCCATAGCTCTATATTCTGCTTCCGAAGATGATCTTGAGACTACATGTTGCTTCTTTGACTTCCAAGATACCAATGATTTCCCAATTAACATACAGTAGCCTGTAACTGATCGTCTAGTAATCGTACAAGCTCCCCAATCTGAATCACTATATCCGTGCAACTGTAATGCTGAATTTGCTGGATAGAATATTCCTTGGCCTGGAGTTCTTTTAATATATCTTAGGACTTTATGCGCTGCATGCAAATGTAGGATTCGAGGGCTTTCCATAAATTGACTTAACAACTGCACCGAGTAAGAAATATCAGGTCTGGTTATTGTTAGGTACAGTAATCTGCCAACCAATCTTCTGTAAATTGCCGGTTCAGGTAGTAATTCTCGTTCATCTTTGGTCAATTTTACATTTTGATCTAATGGTAGCCTGGCTGGAGCTGAACCAATTGTCCCCGAGTCATCTAAGATATCCAAAGCATATTTTCTTTGACATATACTAATACCTTTTGCAGACCTGGCCACCTCTATGCCAAGGAAATATTTTAATCTTCCAAGATCCTTGATCCTAAACTTGTCATGAAGTGAAGTTTTGAGATGATTAACCATGTCAATGAAATTTCCAGCCACAATTATATCATCAACATACACTAGGACAGCAGTGAAAGAGGCACCATTACCCTTAGTAAACAGGCTGTAATCTGCCTTTGATTGAACATATGCTTGTTCAATGAAGAATTTGGAAAGTTTAGCGTACCATTGACGTGATGCTTGTTTCAAACCATACAAACTTTTTTTGAGTTTACAAACTTTCTTCTTCGTGTCATCCTGCAAATAGCTAGGAGGGATCTCCATGTACACTTCTTCCAATTCACCATGCAAGAAGGCGTTGTTGACATCAAACTGAAAAAGATCCCATCCTTTTATGGCTGCTATTGCTAGTAGAGTTCTGATCGTAACAAGCTTGGCAACAGGTGAAAAGGTCTCATGGTAATCGAGTCCTTCTTGTTGTGTGTATCCTTTAGCATCGAGTCTTGCTTTGAACCTTTCTATACTACCATCAGCATGAAACTTGATCTTGTATACCCATTTGCAACCTATTGCTACCTTTCCAGGAGGTAAGTCAACCAAAACCCAAGTGTCATTACGTTCAAGAGCTTCACTTTCAGATTTCATGGCTGCACACCACTGAGGAGAATTTTGGGCTTCTTGGTAGTTCCTAGGTTCAGTATGAGAAGTGACACAGGTAACAAAAACTTTGTGCGAATCTGATAACCTTTTATAAGAAATACTAGCATTAAGAGGATAATGACAACTGGAAAAATCTCATACCTTCAACTTGTCCAATGTTTGAGATGGGTGAAGTGAAGTGGCCTGGTGGCATATGAAGTATTGAAGATGCACTGGAGCTTTTCTGATTCTGGTTGACCTACGGGGCAAATGGGTAGTAGAAGTTGTGCTTGGTGAAGGGCTAGAAGCATCAGTGTCGGTGTTGGTTTGGGGCTCATCAGGATTACAATTTTGTGGAAGTTTTTCCTCAGGTTGAAGGATTTGAGAGATTATTTATGGCTTTACATCATCATGACTGGTGTTTGGAATGACATTGGTTGTTTCATTGTGAGTTATAGGATTTTCAATGAAACTGATGTTGTTATTATTCAAACTGACAAAATCATCCTTAAAGGGAAAAATGTTTTCATAGAAAACTACATTTCTAGATGTGAAGATTTTCTCAGTCTCAAGATCTAACAAGGTATATCCTTTGGCTCCAAAAGGATAGCCTATGAACACACATTTTTTGGCTCTAGGATCGAATTTATGTCTTCCATTGACGATGGTAGTGGCATAAGCCAAACAACCAAAAACTTTGAGGTGATTATAAGGAGGCTTTTTGTGGAGCAAAATTTGGTAAGGACTTTTATCTTTCAATGTGGACGAAGGGGTTCTATTGATAAGGTACATGGCAGTTAGGATACAATGGTTCCAATACTTTAATGGAATTCCACTTGGAACTTCAAGGCCCCGACCGTATTAAGAATGTGTTGATGTTTTCTTTCAACGACGACATTTTGTTGGGGTGTCTCAACACATGTTTTTTGATGTATAATGCCTTTTTGAAGATAAAATTCTCTCATATTAAATTCTCCACCATTATCCGTTCTAATTATCTTAACCTTGGTTTCAAACTGTGTTTCAACCATGGCACAAAAAGTTTGAAGGGCATTGATAGCATCTAATATCAGTTTTAAGGTATAAGCCCAAGTACATCTACTAAAGTCATCCACAATGGTTAAGAAATACTTGGAACCATCACTACCACTTTCATTACATGGACCCCAGATGTCACAATGTAATAATTCAAAGCATTTGTCAGTTTTGTGATTGCTTGTGTAAAAAGGTAATTTGTGCAATTTAGACAGAGAGCATATGGAACAAAATTTATTATTAGATGATTTGGAGAATTGAAAATCACCATCAACACTAAGAATAGAGTAAGAAGTGTGTCCTAATCTGTAATGCTAAACATCAAAGTCTTGAATATTTGAGGTAGCTGAAGCTGATATAGGAATTTGGGTCTGAATATGTAATTTGTTCAGGTAATCTGATAGTGCTGAAGAGGAAACATCTTTGACCATCATGTGATACAGCCCTTCTTTTACTTCACCCATACCAATCGTCTTCCAAGTTGAAAGGTCCTGGATATAACAGCAATGAGAAAAGAAAATTAGACAACATTTCAGCATTTGAGTTAGCTTTTTGGTAGAAATGAGATTGAATGAAAAGCTAGGTACACATAGAACATCTTGAAGTATTAAAGCATCTGTGACCTTTGCAGTCCCTATGTGAGTAACAGGGACCACGTTGCCATTTGGTAGAGCTATGGAATATTCAGCCTCAGTACGAATTGATGAGTAGAATGAACTGGAGTAGATCATATGATCTGTTGCTCCTGTGTCGAGTGTCCAAGGAACATTCAACATGTTAGGATATTTTAGTTTGATAACAGACATACATAGGGACATACCAGATAGTAGGTGTAAATTTTCATCAGTGGAGGTGGAGGTAATGACACTTTGATCATTGTTGGTTGAGTGGTTCTGGCTTTGAGAGTTAGTGACAGGTTTGAGAAGAGCCATGAGCTGTGAAATTTGTTTTTGACTTAAGGACACCTGAGATTTGCTGTTTCCAACCCCTTGTGCTGGAGATAAAGATGTCATAGCTTGATTTGCTGATACCTTTTCCTTTCCACTAAATTTGTGGACTGGAGGATAGCCATGAAGTTTGTAGCATTTGTCCACTTGATGGCCAAGAATTTGAAAGTGGGTACAAATTGGTCTGTCTGGGTTTGCCTTGAAGCATCTATCAAGTGAGTGTCCTCCAATTTTACAAAAAGTGCAGTAGTATCTATCTTTCTTCTGCGCATAAGTGTTTTGCCTTCCCTTTTCTTTGAAATTTCCCTTTGCAAGAAGAGCCATAGATTCATGTAAGTATCCTTCAGTTGATATCTCCCTTCTTTCTCTTCCTATTGTATTATCAAGTAAACTTCATTTAAACTGGGAAATGGTTTGATCAACAGGATTTGTGCCTTAATTCCTTTATGAATCACACAAGCCCATTAAAAATTTCATTACGCAGTCCCTTTGTTGATTCTAAATGACTGTCTTCAAACCTCCACAATTACAGTTAGGTACAGTTTCATAGTTCATGAGTTCATCTAGACGTGTTTTGAATTTGGAGAAATAAACACTTACAGGATCTTGGTTTTGCAATAGCATACTTATGGCTTGTTTGATTTCAAAGATTCGAGGTGCATTTTGTTGAGCAAAACGTTGCTCCAGCTCAATCCATAGGTGATGCGTCGTTTCAGCATATGTGGTACTACATTTGATGTCAACTGCCATTGTGTTCTGTATCCAGGTAATAACTATGTCATTACAACCAACTAGTATTCCATGAGTGGGTCATTCGGGTTTGCTGGTTCACTTAAGCTTCCATGAATGAATCCCAATTTATTTTTGATTCTCAATGCTCTTTTCATTGATCTCGCCCATGAATGATAATTGTTAGCATCCAAGGTGTGAGTTACGAGCAAGGCTCCAGTACTGTCATTGCTTCCAATGAAATATGGGCTATTAGGCTGAGTAGGATCAAGGTTTATAGAGTTTGATGAATTGCCAGATTGATTAGCATTTGGATTTTGGCTTTGATTTTGGTTTTGATCAGTATTTGTATCTCCAGCACTTGAATCTTCTAAGGCTGGCTCTGATACCATTTTAGAAATGAGTTTATAACAAAGAAAATTAGCTGAACGATTGGGGCAGAAATGAAGTAAAGAATTGTATTGATTTTTCTGCTTGCTAAAATGTACAGAATATCACAGTATATATACACAAAAATAGGCTATTCTAGAAGGAATAATTTACAAACACGTTCTCTCAACAAATTCCCTAACTAACACAAAAATTCCTCTTCCTTCTTCTAGAGAATTCTCATTCTGTTATTGCAAGCTGGCTGCCAATTGTTCAATTGCTGATTGTACTGCTGATTCTTCAACCAGATCCTTCATGTCTTTCCAATTCAGCTGCTTTGTTAGCAGCCTTGTCAACTTCCAATAGCGTTGGCTAAAGAATGACTTGCAGTTGTAGAATCCCTTCTCCCAAGTTTCACATTCCATGACGGACCACCAACCTGTGGTTCATAAAAAATACAAGTTTAGATATTCATGCACAAGATGCCCCATCATGCTCTGGACAAATTTATATTTTCATAAACGACACGAGACGTACAAAATAATCACAATGAGTGTCGGAATTCACTCGGAAAAAAATACGATATATCACTACTTACAGCAGCTGAGGCATCCCGGGCTGCTACTGCGAGTATATCTGCGCAGGAAACAACTCCTGGACATATTTTCTCAACCTCCCTCTTGGCAGTTTCAATCACTCCATAACCTCTTGCAGAATTATTGTTTGGAGATGCAGTCTTCTCTGTTTGTATAGATGGGGTTTCGTCAAGTAGGATTGATGCATCACAGCCCTGAACAAAGCAATCATGAAAATGGAGGCGAATGATAGACGCAGCCATCCGGCGCTCCCGGGATACTGCTTGTCGGATGGATGTGCGGACTGTGGCGAGTGCATTTGGGCATGAATTGCCATAAAATGTAGTAGAAAGCTGAGCTTCACATGCTGTGTTGGAAAGCAAGAGGATGACTGAAATAGCAGCAATAATATTGGGAAAGAAAGATGCAGAATCCATTAAAATATAGAAAAGGAGATGCTTAATTGGGAGTGTATTTCCACACAAAGAATGAGATTTATTGATTGCAACTGAATACGACTGAGAAGAAGGGTTTTGGGGACTGAATTTATAGGGCAGAAGAGCTTCTCGTATGACCTGGTCACTATTGGCTCCTAAGCTAGAACACGTCGCTGAGTTATTTGAAGAATCCTCACTCAGAGAGGTCTTCGTAATAGACCTTTTCCCTGTAATAGATTTTGGATTTATTTAACGCAATAGGTTTGCATTGAAAAAATATTGAATTGTCAAACTCACAATTCGTTTACGAATTTTATAAATGTTTTCCAAAATACAGCTAATAATGAAAGCATAAATTAGTAGCACTTCTATTTAAGTGGAGTAAATTTAGCAATTAAGTTTCAGAGCCATTATTTTGAAAAAATAAAATAATATTACTAAAATTAACAGTAGCACTAATGGTAATATTGTTTCTTAAATAAAAAAGTTCGAAGAAGCAAATTTTTTTAATTTTTTTGTTTAGTTTTTTTTTTCTTTGTTTTTTTGTGAAAGTCAAAATATTATCTTACAAGTAAATCAGTAAACTTTTTGTACTAGTCAACTACTTTAGCTTTCTTATTGTTTACTTGATCTAAATATCAGGGTCTAAACATTGTCAAACACTACTATCGAAAATAAGTTCATCCATCGAATTGGAGATTATTTGAGATAAAAATTTAAATGAAAAAATGAAAAAAAATTGTCTCCTCTTTGAGTACGACTAATTTTATTTTCATTTTTTTAAGATTATGTGATTAATCAATGGATTCAACTTGCAATTCCAATTGTTTAGCAAGTTTGGATATTGTTAGAATACAGTGACTCGAATTCAATTTGAACCGACTTGAAAAGCTCGTGGTGCGACATATGTGATAAAATAAAAATTATGAAATTTTTTGGGAGTTTGTGTTTTATTATTGTCGCACCCTATATAGATATGATGTATTTTAGGGGTTCATTGTATCATCATTCATAGTAGCATGTACTCATTTTTGATATAGTGAATTTCTTCTCATCTATCCGTAATTTTTTCCCATATTAGGTTCCCATGTAAGTTTTGGGTTCTTACTCATATTTTATACATTGCTTATTCTTGCTTTTGAGTAACAGAAATATAACCCTATAGTGCCACTACTTTCTTCCTCTCTTTGCTTGAAGACCCCCAACTGCCCCCCGTGGATTCCTCGCCCGAGTAAAGCAAGGACAACTCGGTTTTGAGGTGGTTTAACATGACCCTTTTTTGAGCCTATCGAGCTAACGCATAAATTTATAATGAGCCCCCAGGGCATATCTCTCAGTGGCAAAGGGGAGGGTGGATAGGGTTCAGCGCGGCAGTGTGCAGAGTTCGATTCCCCGCAAGGTGGAATTGACTTTGTTGCAAGCGGGAGTTACCATATGGGTTAACAGCCTTGGCCTATCCATGTGCTCTCCACCCTGGCTCCTGGGAGGCACATCTTGCGATTTACCTCCTCCAGAATGGCCCAGGGCAGGGTCGGTGGGGGCCCTTAAGGTTGGGGTTCAACCTTTTTTTTTTTTTTTTTTTTTTTTTATAATGATGGTCGTGCCTAAAAAACTCTTTTTTATAGCCCGGCATAGCACAGCTTTAACTGTAGAGAGTGGCAGGGCCATGCTTCTCTTCCCGACACTATCCTCTTACTTTCCCAGGTACTTGTCTCATTTTCCATTGCATGCATCGACCCTCTCATTCACCTCAAAACCTTTACAAATTGAAAATGATAGACATGTATATATACTACCTAGAGTACTCTCAGGGCCGGAGCCAAGAATTTTGTCCAATGCGGGCAAAATTTAGTCAATGTCGGACTTTTCAATTATGGATTTAATGATATTATAATAATGCTAAAAATGACATAGTGACAACACTAATGAGATTATCATCTTTTTCCTTATTCTAGGATCTGTAGCAAGTTGTGCAACATCAAAAATCAATTTTTTTCGATATCTCCTCATCACCATTTAATACGAAATATTTTTTTTAAAGAATCTCTCCATTGACATTTCACATTAAAATAAACCACAAGTGACAGTTAAATACTAATTGATATGGAAATAATTACATTTTTTTACAAATTGATAGAACACCAAAAAATCATCACTAATTGTTTGACTAATTGACAAAAATCAAGATTTTAAGAATCCATCACAAATATTACCAATATTCAATATTCACATAATCATAATCACTAATATTAAATAGAAAAATCACATGATCCAAGAAACTTTTTGTTACAAATTTGAGGGCCCAAGGAAACGTGGGTTTTAAGAAAGAAATGAACTTTGAAAATATTTCAAAACGATGGTAGATTAAAGGAAATTTTTTAATTTCTTGTCGAGGGGAAAGAGTTAGAAAATGTCACTGTGCACTTGGAGTTGAGGTAAATTAGTGTATCGATTGGACTATAAATAAAAGTAAAACCCAATGCTTTAAAAAAAAAATATATATATATATATATAAAATTGGAGTCCAGTGCGGGTTGCCCGCACTGGACAGTGAGTGGCTCCGCCACTGAGTACTCTGATTGTAGTCGGTCTGTATTTGAATAACAATAAATAGTTTATAGCTCTAAACTTGTGCAAAAGTTGTCGAAAAAAATAAAAACCTGTAAGAAATTTTAAAATCTATTTTTTCTTTTTAATTAATTTAGTATATAGTGACAAAATACTATAAACAAAAATGTTTAAAAATGCAAGTTCTCCTTTGCATTTGCTGCTCTTTTTAGACATAATCTAGCATCTCTTTTTGGATTATTCAACTGGATTCATCGAAAATTTTACTTGGTCAAAATAGTTTAGGCATTTTATATAAAAGTCCACCTCGAACACATCTAATAATTAATTGAAAGCGCCCCCGAGACATAGCCTAGTGGAAAAAAGGACATGAGCGAGGTTATCTCATGTTTTGTTGGTAGTCGCAGCTTTGTACACATAACTCTTGTTCACTAGCCTGTTGAGGCACATCCCGCGATTTACCTCCCTCACAAAACTCTAGGGGCGGGACGGTGGGGACCCTCAAAGTTGGGGTTCAACCTTTTTTTTTTTTAATAATTAATTGAAAGCGAAATCAGAGGGTGACATGAAAATAAGATTAATAAAATTCTATTAGATCGATACTTCATTTTGCCATATATATGGTCATGAATTTGAGAGACAATACATGACTTGATGTGTAATAGAAAAGAGAATGTCTAGCCCCCAGGGCACATCTCCAAGTGATAAAAGGGGAGGGTGGAAAAATCCAGCTTTACTTGAGGCTGTCGCGTCAAGGGTTCGAATCCTGAAATATGGATTTGGCTCTTGGGTAAGTGCAAGTGTACAAACAACCTTCCAACCTGTACCCTTGGAGGCATAACCTGCGATTTACCTCCCTCACGATACTCCAGGGCAGACGCGGTGGGGGACCCTTAAGGTTGGGGTTCAACCTTTTTTTTTCTTTTTTTTTGAAAAAGAGAATGTCTAGTCTCTTGAATCATAATTTTTCAACATTACACTGGTCTCTTCATCTCGAATAGTGTAAGATTTTCTCAATTGTACCTTAAGTTGGAAATCAAACGAAGCCCCTTCCAAAAACCAATTTTAATTTCAATATTAATAAAATCCATGATTTTTACTTATCATTGGCACTTTATACTTACAATTTTAAGAGAACAAGTTTTAAAAGAACCAGAGTCTGGAAATTTTTATATTCAAATATGTTGCTTAATTTTAGCTTTATTTCAAATTTTATTTTTTATTTTTTTTTATTTTTTTTTTAGGTAAAATACTAAACAAAATCAACTGATCACTATGGCAATACATAATAAAAAATGGCAAGTTGGAGTGTGCACAAGAACCCTTGGAGGCATAACCTGCGATTTACCTCCCTCACGATACTCCAGGGCAGACGCGGTGGGGGACCCTTAAGGTTGGGGTTCAACCTTTTTTTTTCTTTTTTTTTGAAAAAGAGAATGTCTAGTCTCTTGAATCATAATTTTTCAACATTACACTGGTCTCTTCATCTCGAATAGTGTAAGATTTTCTCAATTGTACCTTAAGTTGGAAATCAAACGAAGCCCCTTCCAAAAACCAATTTTAATTTCAATATTAATAAAACATGTCTCATTGAGATATATATATATATATATATATATATATATATATATATATATAAATAAAGTTTGTAAACATGTTTTAAAGACAACACAGTTGTCGTAAACGTGTTTTGTACTCACACTTTGGGGTCATCTTAGGCTAAGTTTGTGGACATTTTTAATACTAATTTTACACCAAAAAAATAAAAAAATAAAAAAATAAAAATAAAAATCATGTTTTGACACCACATTCCATACACCTAAACTCATGCCATTTGATAAAGCTCATCCTATTTCATCATCTCCAAGCTATCATCTAATTATATATGCTTCTTGTAGGTACATTATTACTTCAAGATGTCACTGAAGACACAAAATGAGTTGAATGCTAACAAAGGCAAGCAATTGACCTCGTCATCCAATATAAACAAAATGTCACGTGTGAGGCCCCACCATATGAAAAATATCCAAGGGCAAGGGCAACAACCCATTCCAAGATCATCAACAAATGAAAACCTCACTCGAAGATGGAGGTCAATCTCAATAAGATACTAAAAAACAAAGCTCTAGACACGAATTTTTCGTTCCTAAAGCCTCAATATCCATTGCTAATAGTTTTCACGAACGGGATATTTGCAACCACAAATCTGTTGGCAATTTGAGGATTATTGATAGTTACCAATGGATCGTGCCGTTGGTAAAGAGTAAACATTTTACCAATGGTTGGTAAAGTGTAAATCTTTTACCAACGAAATTTCTATTGGTAAAAGTCTTAACCAATACCAACCATCTTTTCGTTGGTAAATGTCTACCATTATAATTGGTAAAAATCAATGTTGTAAATAACTGTATGGTAAAAATATTATTGATTTATTATGATCATCATCATCATCATTGTTATTATTATTTATTTAATAATTATAATTTTTAAAAATTTT